GCCCCACGGACGGGCCGGGCGCGGCGCGGAGGAGCCCAGACCCGCCGTCGGTGGGGCCCGGCCCGGCCCCGCGTCCTTACCTTGTCGCTGTCGCTCCGCTCCCTTCTCTCGTGGAGGGAGGCTCCGAGCCGGTGACGACCCGCAGCGACAGCGGCGCCGAGGCGTCACGCCAAAGCGCTGCCCGGTTCCTCGGGCGCCAGCGACCACCGGGAGAACGCCATGCAGCCGCCGCCCCGCAGCCAGCCCGCCCGCTCCCCTCCGCTCCTCTCCTCACGTCCCGTTCCGCCCCGCCCCCGGGCTCCGCTCCGCCCGGCACGGGGGGGCGGGGCTGAGTGAGTGATAGACCTCCAGGAAGGCCAATCACGGGACGTGAATGGCGAGAAGGGGCGGAGCGCCGTCGCTAAGAGACAGGTGGGGCAGGGCCGGCCCGGTGGCGGCCTCTGGTGGTCCCTCTGCGCAGCGCCGCCCCCCCGCCTCATCCCGAGGCGAGCGCGCGGCCCCTTCCCTCGCCCTCGAGGCGCCGGGCGGGCTGGGGAGCGCAGGCAGCGGGCCCTCGCGGCGTTCCCGCGCTGCGCCGGCCTTCTCCTCCGAGCGCGAGGGCCGCGGCCTGTGGTAACGGCGGCGGTGAGGGCCGGCCGCGCCGCGCCGCGCCCGGGGCTGCCAGGGACTCGGTACGGCCCCTCGTTGGAAGCCGAAAGCTTGCTGAGCGTGCGCCCAGGCCCTCGTATGAGTCGCTTTCAAGCGCTTGTGGCGGCTCCTTGCTGGGCGTTCGGGTCAGGGGAGTTGAAACCGCTTTCCTGCTGGGCTGAGGAGAGGGGGAGTCAGGGGTGAGACTGCTCCCGCCTCCTACAGGACTGACCTCTTTAGGTATAGAGCAGTAAGGATTTTTTTCTTTTCTAAACACTTTCCAGTCCCCCAGAAATAGTCTTGTTCATGGAAGGTCAAGACTAACAGACGGACCCAACCAACCTCTCACTTAAAACAGCCTGAGTTGGCAGGCTTTGTCTGGTATTCAGGTGGCCGTTTACAAGTACCCCTGCTTTCACCTTCCTTGTTTGTGTGTGTTTGGTTGAGTGAAATAACAACTATTCTTTCTGCTCAGAAAACTGACGGGAGTTACTCAGGGTTATGTTAAGGTGAATGTGTTGCTGACGCAAGTTAATTCTAGTTTGTTGTAGGTGTTGGGTCAAGTTGTGTATAAACTTTTTTTTTTCTTTGAGATAAGTAGTTATGTTACAAGATCTGGAAAAGATACGGTATTGTTGAAAAACACTTTAAACAGTGCTTAAAACTATTCCAGGGGCAGAAAATATTCCACTTCTGAACTGACTTTAGGCAAGTAAAGGGAGTTGCTTACTATAGAGAGCTTCTGTTTAGGGCACGCTTGAGGCCTGAGACTTATTTATTTATTTAATAAATGTTCCATTATCTGTTATTTTATCAAAAGTGAAGACCAGTTTCTTATAAAGGCTGAAAAAATGGCTGAGGGAGGTATTTTGCAGATCTATAATGGATGCTATGACTTTTAAATGGGTTAAAGGTGCTTAAGTACTTGCTTTCCTAAAACCGTTGGGGTGTTATTTCTATTTCAGTCTCAAACTTTCAACCTATTCTGTGGTGATTGCTATGAATTGGTTGAAAGGCTTAAAATTCTACTAAGGAGTGAACTAACATTTTCTGCAATGCAAGGTTTTTAGGAAGGCAAACCTCTTAGCTATATTTGATCTTCTGACTCCTCAAAGAAAATATATGTTGATATGTGACTAATAAAGGAGGTGATATGCAGCCCTAAACCTTTTTTACCATTAAATATATAGATGTTGAAGATATATGCATCTTGCAGATGGGAGGAAGTACTCTGAATCTCAGAAGGGCAGAAGGGCTTGAAAGAGTTCAAATCCAGGTGGGCTTTACGGTTTTAGGAACTTCTTTTAGGAACTCCAAGATTTCAGTACAGCCTAGGTGATAACTGTCCTGAGAAGAATGCTTTTTTTCAGTGATGTCTATCAGCTTGTCTGATGTTCAAAAATCTTCCTGAAAGGAAGGCTGAATGACTTATGTAGCTTTTGAGCAGCGTTCCTGGCACCACTTTTAGCTAGCTCTACTGATAGTCTACAACTGAATGCACAAGTCAAGTCATCTTATATCCTCTGAGACAGGATATTTTTCTGTCTCTACATTTATCTGCTTATGAAGGTGTTTGTTTTGCATTTGCTGTAAGCATTATTTCTAAAGTGCTTTACACCTTTCTTTAAAAAAATGGAGGGAGGCTGAGTTGTGCTTTAAGTGGTGGCAAACTGCAAACAGCCAACACCTGTTCCAGGCAGTATTTTACCCTCCCCTATAGCACAGGGGTTATATATATTTGAGTTACAATATTCATAATGTTAGAGCTTGTCACATCTGCCAGGAGTACAGGACAAGATGAATTTAAAGCCCTTTGGGGTAAAATTAGCATAATATTTGTGAGACACAAAAAAAAAGGCATGTATCTACTCTCATGAGACAGTTTAGCTGACAGATGTGATAAATAATACTGCAGTTGTTCAGAACAGGGTACTCTTGTTAGCCAGAGGTATGTCTAATATAGTTGCTACCAACAACAAACTATGATCTGGTGTGCATAAATTCTGGTCCATTCTACCCAAAATGAACACCATCGTGGATTTGCTCTGAGGGAGGCTTTTGCATTATAGCTATGAGAAACTGCAGTTGTTTTCATTATCTTTATATGTCTTGGAGTAATGTTGTGGAATTACTTTCACCTTAAAGCAGACTATGTGGAAAATAAAGATTAGTTATAAGATATTTCTGTTCGGCAAAAATTGTTCGTATGTGTGGGTTTTTTACTCTTTAGAAACGTTGGCTAAATACTGGCAAGAGCATTATGTGTGTTTTCACCAAGAGTGAGACTCACCAAAGCAGCAGTTAGCCTGAGTTGCTCTAAATACAGTGATCCAAACTCGATTTTAAAAGCACTTTGCACATGCTCCCCTTTTCTGTTTTAATGGCTATCATTACCACTTTTCATTGGTCTATTGTCCTCAAGGAAAGGAAGATGGGGGAGCAGCTTTCTTGGGAAGCCTCCGCAGTTGTGTTCATTCATTTGAAGGAGTGTGAGTGTAAAACAGAGGGACTGTTTCATGCATCAATGAGCTTTATCATCTTATTTACTCAGTATATGCATTAAAAGCTGTATTCATCCTACTTTCTGCCATTGTACTCCTCACTGATTTGTTATGGGTTTGTTTCATTCTCCCTATGACTTAACTTTAGAAATTAAAGTTTCTTTGATTACAAGAATCTTTGTGATTCAGAAGGCTGGAATGAATGACAAGAAAGGCAAGACCAGAAAGAAGTACGGTTAGAGATGCAGAGATTTTTAAGAAAAATGTGTTTTGCATAGTAAGTGTTTGGATTTCTAGAAGGTTCAATGGAAGTTAGCATGAGTTAACTTGACGGAGCCCTTGGGTGTGAAGGTGGAATGACCAAAGGGCGTGTCTAACTCTCCCCTCTAAAGCACCATTCACTTGCACAGAATCTAACTTCTAGGTTTCCACTTGCTATTTAACTTTTCTTCTCAGACCTTTGTTAACTATTGGTAGAGTGAATGCATCTAAAAATCACTGTTTTGACCCTCATGATAATGACCTTGATTTGTATGTCTGTTACACAAGAAAAAGTAATTTGTTAAAAAATGAGGGTGGAAGCATCAACCCCAAATCTTATGCCACAGCCCTTCTGAAAGAAAATGAATTGGCTTTCTGTGCTACAAACTCTTAAGTATAAATCAATCTGTTGCTGCTCTATGAGATTCCTGTATAATTGCCCATGAATGCAAACTCAAGTACTTCAAGTATTCACAGATGCAGAACATCAGAAATAAAGATTATAGTAAATCAGATCTCATGAATATGCATACTTTTGTTGCCAGTAAATAATCTGAGTTATCTAAATTAAAATTCAAAATTATATATTGCAAAGGAAGTGTTCTTCTTTTTTTTAAGAGTTGGAAAACATTTGCGGTAGTCTTCCTGTCATTACTATGCACATAATAATCATGTGAAGCAAATGATACTTCTTTTTATGCTGCTTGTTTTAAATAGCTTTTATTTCTTAAATTGCTGTTAAAAATAGACTGAGAACTCTAAAAAGCTGTGGGCCTTGGAGCTGGTCGGAAGCCACTGACAGCAGCTAAAGCCACTGGCCTATTTTGCGTTCTTAATATAAGGATTCTGGACTGAAGCAACGCTAAGGAAAACCAAATCGTGTCGATTAAATGTAATGCACAGGTTTTGATTTAAAAACATTCCTAGGGCTTAGACACTTAACAAGTGGAAGCCCAAAACACCTTCATCATTGTATGTAGTTAACATGCCTGGTGCAGAGTCTAGGCTACTGTTAGCCACTTGGGCAGCAGCTGTGAGAGGTGTCTTGGTCTAAGGTGCCAGACTTGATGCTGAAGTGGCTGAAGTGAGTACGCACACCATCTGCTCTGCAGTCTGCTGTGTGTGGGTGGAAGACTCTTCAACAGAGTGGCAGCAAACAGTGAAGGCACCAGTAACTTAAATGTGTTGCAGCTGTTCCCTAGTAGCTCTGGCAAATATGAGATAGAGGATTAAGACTGGGTAGCTAAAGGTGTTAGATCTGCTCTGATAGATGTCTATTTTACCTCCTTGGTGGTTGTCATGCCTGAGGCAAGAACATCCAATTTTCTTGTGAATTGGTCTGGTGGCTGAAGGCACATTGATCTCAGTGTGTGTGGCTGTACTAAGCTGAGGAGTGTACTAGTCCTGGGACTGCTGCAGGGACAGGTGGCAATCCTGCCATAGAAGCAGAGTGGATAGTTATGGGAGTGACATCTTCCCCTCTTTTCTATTTCATCTGTGTCTGTATATCTTTCAGAAATCTGTCTAAATGTCTAATCTTTACTGCCAGAGAGCACCAGTAGGTCTTAATTACCTGGGCCAGCCTCACCTGGGGCTTTCACCCATACTCACTACGCAGGGGTTCGGGAACCTCACTTAAGCTCAGAGCTATGGTCTAGGAAGGACTGTGGTCAGCCCTCTCCCCTGCTTGTCCAGACTTGTTGATTGGACTTCCCAGACTGACCTTGGACTTGCCTTGTCACCTCTCATTTGGTAATCACAGGACTGTCAGCACAGCCTGTGGCTGTCGCCAGACTGCCTCTGCTCACCCTGCTGTGGGGTGGTGTCTTTGGTGAGGTCCTGCCCTGCCTTTGCCAGGGTTGTCCTCAGCTTCTGGCTAGTCTTCCCT